TGCTGTTGAATATTAGACTCATGGAGTACCACTTTGTTGAAGCCACCAACCATTGAGATTTTCATGAGCATCAGCACTTACTGCTGTTCTTCTTAATTAATCATGACCTCCGGTGGCCTAGTGGTTCCAAGTATGGCTGCTGACCTCAAGGTCTGCCTGTGGAAAGCACCAGTTACCCCTTACCAGCTTAGTGGGACTTACTGCTCCTGTAAAGAGTTACAGGCTTGGAAATGGACTCCACAGACGTGTGTGTGTGTGTGTGTGTGTGTGTGTGTGTGTGTGTGTGTAAATATGGGTGCCTTTGTTTTTGAAAACATCAATGCGTGGAGCTGTCCTTTCTCGACATGCCCCCACCTAGGCCTGCCCTCTCTGGAAGGCAGAGTTTCTCTCTCTAGCCTTTGCCAGTTTCTACCAAGTCAGAGTGGTCACTTTGGCATCCTCGGGAGGCACGCTTCAGCTCTGAGTGCGGGAGAAAGAGCAGTGTGAGGGGCAAGATGGGGACTGGAGACCAGAGAAAGAGCATGACCTTTCATTGATCGATGAATTGAGGGAGGTGAAGTGTGTAGGGAACAGAAAATCAAAGGAAATAAAGTGAAGTTGAGAATAAATAAAGGCTAGAGCTGGCCCCCTGTCTAAAGCCAGAGAATTAGCTAGCTTAAAAGGGCCACTATTACAGAAAGGAAGAGGAAATCAGGTTTAATACAGATCCATTAACTACGACAAGCTGGTGAGGAAAGAGGTAAAGGGTTCTGGTGCCACAGCAGCTGTCCCTTCTGCTGTGGGACCTGGCAGAGAAAAAGACAGCGGGCAGAGAGAGCCACAGGCATTTCAGATAGCAAGCAGGGGTGAGAAAACAAAGGATGTTCTCAGGTATTTGCATCTTGGGCCATCTCTGAGTTTTTGTAGGCATGACTAATCACGATCTTTCTGGTTGGTGCAGATAACTCCAATGAGCTGAGCACCAGCTTCGGTGAGGGTGAGCTGGCGTCACTTAATCTGGCGGGAAGATGGGCAGAATAAGCTCTGTAAACAGAAGTGTCTGCTGCTGTCGTTAGTAACACAGCCACCGGACCCTCGAGAAGGTGGGTGGTTGGGGTCCAGTTTCTTGTGAGCTCCCCTAGGACAGCCCTGCCTGCCCTCAGAGCGAGCAGGTGCCTCGTGAAGGAGACAGATGCTTCCACAACTGTCCTCACCAGCGCAGGCATCATCCTGTGTCCTTGAGAAAATCTGCCAAGATGACCCCTTGGGAGCCCCAGAGGACAGCCCCCAGTACCTTCTGCGCTGACCTCTGTGCCTTGGATGTAACTGCTGTGATTGGACCCTCTGTTTGGGGCAGCACCCCAAGGAGAAGACATCGCTGATGTCAGACACGTTCAAACAAGCTGCCAGTGTTTAGGGAGCTGCACAAGTGCCCGAGTCGAGCTCCCTGGTCACCTCTCTGTGAGGAGAGCCACAGAAAGGGCCGGGGGACTCTGCACGGCCGAGTTTTGCCCTGGTGGCGTGTGCTCAGCTGGACAGGAGACGTGGGCTTCCTGTAGCACATACTTCCCCCAGGGAGGGCTCTTTTGGAGGGGGAGGGAGGGGAAACAGACTCAGCTGAAGGTCTTATCACCCGCTGGCCCTCTCAGCCCCGCCCAGCTCGAACCAGCACTCCACATGCCCCAGAGGAAAGCAAGAATTCAGCCTAGGCTGCGTGATCAGCACAGATTCTGCAGGCACAGGTAGCCACCCTCAGTGTGAGGCCCAGATGCCAGCCCGGGGCCTTCTGGGGCCCAGGAACCCTTTTCTGCTCAATTGCCACCATGTTAAGTCAATCACTTCCCCCGGCCCCACCCACCCTTTTTTTTTAAGTATGTTCTTACAAACTACATGTGAAAAACCAAGCCAAACAATAGCCAACACTGTCTACACTGGGAGGGAGCTGGCTCTGGCTTGTAGCAACCTTGTCTGACAGAGTAGGGCTGCCCCTTGGGGTTTCCATGTGAGAACCACCATCGAGGTCACGTAGCTCTCCTCAGACTCCCGAGGCTGACAGTACCAGGCAGCGGTGAGGCACCTCTACCCCCATCCCTCTCGCCAATCCTCCCTCCCACGGCCCTCGGCTTCTGTGCCTGGGCTCCAGAATTTGTTTCAATGGCTACCCAGAACCCACAGAGGGATCTCGTGATGATGGGTTTATTGGTGAAGTTACCTGGGTACAGTTCAGGTGAGACGTGCTCACGAGACCATTGTCCAGTGAGAACAGTTTCTTCTCTGCTGTGCCCACCCGCAGGCCTCTCTCTGGGCCTCAGCCTCTTGGCCTGACCTCTGCCCTGCTTGGGCAATGTTACAAAGCTCTTTAGCTTCCTATCATGTAGTCCATTCTGACTCGGAGACCCTATAGGACAGGGTAGAACTCTAGCCCTCGTGACTTTCCAAGACTGCTGGAGCAGAAAGCCTCTTTCTCCCACAGAGCCGGCTGGTGGTTTCCAGTTGCTGACCTGGTAGTTAGCAGTTCACGGCACAACCGGTAACCACCAGGGCTTCTCTTCAGGCTGCCAAAGCTCTTTTAGCACTGCCTATAAATGCCCTAGGGGTGTGCTACTCCACTGAACCCAAAGGCAGGCAGCTCCATGCCTTGGGGTCAGCAAGCCCAGAACCTTCCATCAATTAAGGGCTCAGAGGCACCTCACTCCACAAGCCAGCCTCCTTGCCCGAAGCACACAGCTTTATTTACTCTGCCGTAGGAATTCCACCGCCCTGCCCCAGGCTCTAACTTCTGGGGCTGCTGTGTTCCTTTGTCACTCTGGTGTCGAACTGTCTCCTGGCCCGAGGAGGCTCAATGTACAGGGATCTTGGGGTCCAAAGGACTCACCCCTCTCCAGGCTCTGCTTCTCTTGCTGAGAGTGAAATACACACACACACACACACACACAACTTCCTGTTTCTGAGATGGCTCCTGGTATACCCATCAGGATAGTGCTCACAGTG